CTTTTGGATTTCGAAAAAAACAAGTTGTTGTGTACAGAGACACTTCAAGTAACTTTGAATATCCTTTTCGAAGACCAGAATGTTCAATTTCAGCAATACTTTACCTGAATAGGAATAATTTTGTCAATATATTTAAGAGCAATGAGAAAATGGCGAATCGATGATCATTAGATAACCGGACTTATTTTTTTGCATACATTACATTTGAAAAGAATATTACTTTTTTGAATTCGACTGTAATGCATAGGCGTCGGATATAAATAATTTTCGATGAATGAACAGTAAAATGTTGCACTAATGAGAGAAATAATAGCAGATGCACTTTTCAAATTGGTTTGTTTAAAAAGAAAGTTGAAGGTGAAATATAAATTTTCTGTGAATAGAAAAAAAGACATTATCTATTATTCCTCTTAGTGATTAAATGCAGCTGAGACATAGTAGTTGTTCGATACGGAAATATATTTATCTTTGGCCTTGATAACGAAAAGCAAGCGCGCCTATAAATTGAGCGGCATTTTATCTACATCAACATTCTCTCTCATTTCAATTCCTTTGCCATTTACAGAAATGCAAACGTCAATCTACATATGTTTTATTGCAATTGCTTTTATGCAACTGTTGACAGTCTCATTATCTGGTAAGTGTTACATTCAAATCTTTTATAGTAAATCTCCGTCTAACAAGTATGTTTTTCGTTTTCAAATGAAAAGAAAGCGGTCCTACTATTCATTTCTGAATATTTACAAGTCACGCATCAATTATCATCTTGACTATACCATTGAATCTATTTGTCAATTCCTTTCGTACCCATGCTCTATGGCTGTGATAAGACTAATCTTCTCATCTCCATCGAGATAGAAAGATTCTTTTGAAGAATATCAGCTATTGTTCTTGTAGAATGAAAGTAGCCCCTCTATATTGTATACTACTGAATGGAGCATGTCGGCCTTATTCGATGATAATTGCAAGCAACATAGGAAAGATACTAGGGTCTCGAGTTTATAGTTGTTAGAAAAATTTGAATTTGGTGAAAAGAAGTAGAATTATTTTCTGTCGTACAACCAACAGGGATCAACTGTGAATTCTAATTATTGTTCACCACCAAACGAGGGAAAGTTGATATAAATCATTGCCAAAGAGTCATAAGTATTGCGTCTCCATCAAAATAATCAATTGCAATTTCAAATGGAAGAAAAAACTTATCAATATAGCTATATTGGAGCTGAAATGTGGAGCTGATAGGTATTCTTTACATTCATTTGAGCTAATTTCTAATAGCTTAAGTAAAATTTCTTCCTTGAAAGTTTTATAATGAGCTGTCCTTACGTTTTCTTTTTTTAGTACTCTCTGATCGATACAAGAAGTAACAGTGGCGTAATTTTAAGTGAGAGAAAGAGAGGAGGTAGCAGTAAAAATTTCGCTGTGAAACTATCAAGCATCACAATTTTCGAACAAGTAAAGCTCATCGAATTCCGTTTCCCTTATCCCTAGACTAATAGGCGATGAAATCTGATGTGGCCTGATATGCAAATGAGACTACCAAACGGTACATCTCTGAATGAAATCAAAAGATGTGTTACAAGAGAAAACCCGAGTGTTTCTAAACTTCATAATTAGAAATCGGTTCGAAATAAAAGCAATTTAAAGTTGAGAAGTCAGAACTACAAAGCACAAAAATATAAATCTCTAAAAGTTCTAAAAAATGCAAAATAATATTCACCGAATGTAGATTTATGTTACCGTAGACTGTTAATGTTGAATATATTTCAATGACCAAAGAACTGGAGATTTTGAAGCAAGAAATTAAAATTATAATTAATTGAATATGCTTTGCTAAATTTAACTCATAGACAAAGTTTCCACATCGTTCATATAACTTTATTTGCATTTTGGTTTTCAAAATTCTTGTTTCTTTTATTTTCTTCGCTCTCTTTTGTGTCTATTTTGTCTATCTTTAATTAAATCTATTATTCCAATCTCAATAAATTCTCATGTCAATGTAACTTAGACGTCCCCGATGCAAACGTAGGTGCTGCCGATCCAGATGCTGGTGCTGCCGTTCCAGACACTGTTGCTGCCGCTCCAGACGCTGATGCTGCCGCTCCAGTTCCTGTTGCTACCGCTGTAGACACTGCTGCTGCGGCTCCAGTCGTTGGTATTATCGCTCCAAACGCTGCCGTCGTCGATGAAACACAGCAAATGTAGGTCTCTAGACCATATCCTTTGAGCCTAGGGAAATATATATATATGCCATGGTTATTGTAATACTATATATTCCTTCCTGTAGGAATGGTTTTGCTACTGGAACCAGGGAGTTTTCATATGTATTCATTAATAAATAATATTATATTTTCCCTTTTATAAAGCTTGAGTGTTTTTCGCAATAAATTATCTGATATATAATCACAATACCTGACATAAGAATTATTCGTGCTATGAATATTGTTGAATTGCTGTAGGTGTAGAGTAATCAAGATGGAAAAGTGAACCCTGTATCTTGAATACGTGAATAGCGACTAGATACATAAAATACGATGGTAATTCGATTGAACTCTTCTTTTTTTATCAAAAATTGTCGGCCTGAAAAAAATTGATAAAAAAATGAAAAACCTAGTGATATTGTTCTATGAGATAGTCTACATAAGTCAGCAATGAACTTTTTCAATTATAATCGTTAGATTTTACTTTACTCATATAATTGAACAATAGCATCAAAAATACACGAAAACATGGTCACTTTTCGATAGTTTGTCAAGATATGTATTTTGAGGGGAAAATCGTTAAAGGGGTTGACGTTTTCACTATAGAAAGACTTCGTTGAGTAGGTACTTTCGATGGCTCATTACGCTAAGGATGCGTATAAAAAAATTTGAACTTGAAAGGGTTATAGAAATGTTAGAGTAACGTCATATTGAAAAATGCAGAAAAACAATCCTGTTCGAAAAAGAAGTAAACTACAGCTCGTTGAAAACTATCAGTGTGAAGCTAGCACGGTGGAAATGGCACGATGAAACAGAGATTCGACTATACACCTTCTCAGGAGTATTGCCGGCCCATAAAAACCAGACCATTCGATGCAGAATTTAATTCTGGATCGGATGGTGATACTTTTATTCCCCGACAATACTTAGGAAGACATTTTACCTGCACCTTGGTTTTCTTCTAAATAGGACAAGAAAAAACGGATAGAATCTTCTCAAAGTATTGCTGGGCAATAAAAGTATCGCCATCCAACCCAGAATTAAATTCTGCATCGAATGGTTTGGTTTTTACGGGCCGGCAATACTCCTGAGAAGACTTATAGTTGAATCTCTGTTTCATCGTGCTAGCTCCGCCGTGCTAGCTTCACACTGATTTGAAAACTTCATAGAAAACTTTCATTAATTCCAATCCAATCTATCCAATTCGAATCAAGGCTTGATCTACGCGAACTTTCATTAGAAGCTGAGTCCATTTCCCAAAAGAATTCTTCTGTTGATTGTAAAAGCAGTTTCTAATGAAAACTACCGTAGATCGAGCTTTGATACGAATCGGACAGATTTTATTGGAGTTGATAAAAATTTTCTATGAAGTTTTCAACGAGCTGCAGTCTACTTCCTTTTCGAACAGGAATATTTTTCGGCGTTTTTCGATAAAACTTCGCTGGTTATTTTCCGAGACGGCAGTCTAACTTTTCTATAACCTTTTTAAGTTCAATTTTTCTTATACGCATCCTTAGCGTAATGAGCCATCGGAAGTACCTACTCAATGAAATCTTTCTACAGTAAAAAGTTCATTGCTGATTTATGTAGACTATCTCATAGAACGATATCACTAAGGTTTTCATTTTTTTATCGATTTATTTCAGGGCGACAAGTTTTGATAAAAAAGAAAAGGTCAATCGAATTACCATCGTTGTAACTTGATATGCGGAGAGCGTCCAAATTCCATCCGGGGTGTAATGCTCTCATTCGAGCGTAACCTATACATAATATTTGGTGTTATGGTGCCATTTATTCTCATTACACCTATTGTCTTTATCTATCCTTCTTCTTCGTTCTCTCAAAATGGTTGAGTTTTTAAGCCTATGCCTTATATGTAATCGATGCGATTTAGGATTTGAAGAATCAAATAAAGTGTAATAACATCAGCACAAGTATATCTTCTATCGAAAATCGTCACACAGAAGAATGAACAAATATATTCAATGGTAAAGTCAAGATGATAATTTATGCGTGACTTGTAAACGTTCAAAAATTAATATTAGGCCCACTTTCTTTTCATTTGAAAACGAAAAACATATTTGTTAGACGGAGATTTACTATAAAAGATTTGAATGTAAGACTTATCAGATAATGAGACTGCCAACAGTTGCATAAAAGCAATTGCAAAAAGCCATATGTAGATTGACGTTTGCATTTCTGTAAATGGCAAAGGAATTGAAATGAGAGAGAATGCTGATGTAGATAAAATGCCGCTCAATTTATAGGCAAGCTTGCTTTTCGCTATCAAGCCGAAAAAAATAAGTATACTTTCTCATGTAACAATTAATATGTGTCAGCTGCGCTTAGTCACTAAATTGAATAATAGATAATGTCTTTTTTTCTATTCACATAAAATTTATATTTCGCCTTCAACTTTCTTTTTAATAAAGCAATTGGAAAAGTAGATTTGTAATTATTTCTTTCATTACTGAAAAATGATATTCTTTCTTCATCAAAAATCATTCGTATCCGACGCATATGCATTACAGTCGATATCAAAAATATTATTCCGTTCAAATGTAGTGCTTGCAAAAGAATAAGTCAGGTTATCTAATGCTCGTCGATTCGCCATTTTTTCATTGCTCTTAAATATATTGACAAAATTATTCCTATTCAGGTAAAGTATTGCTGAGACTGAACATTCTGGTCTTCGAAAACGATATTCCAAGTTGCTTGAAATGTCTTTGTAAACAACACCTTGTTTTTTTCGAAATCCAAAAA